AGGGATCGACTTCGAAGTACGGCTGTTGTCCTAATGTCATGAGTTCCCAAAGTGTTACACCAAAACTCCACACATCACTGAATTGTGTGAACTCTTTCTTCACCAGACTTTCTAACGCTAACCATTTGAGCGGTCGGTTCTCATTGTCTCCCAAACAATGGTAATCGTTTGGAAATAAATCCCTTTTATATGCAAAATGAATGAATATTTAGCTAATGACAAAATGGGCTCTAAATTGATTAAAAGCATACCTCGAGAGCGCGTTATCCGATACTTTGACTAGAAATGAATTTTGATCTAAAGTTTGGACGAAACAGTTTCTTGTTGCCAAATCTCGATGAATTAGACGCCGTTTGTGTAAATAAATAATAGCTGATGCGATTTGAACGGCCATTTGGACCAAATCCTGAGTCAAAAATGTTTGAATTTGTCCGTCATTTGGATACTTATGAGAACTCGATTTCTGGAGAAAAAGTTTAAGATTTCCACTATTCATATGAGGATAGATAAGGAGCGGCCGTTTGGGGTCATCAGTACACGTGCCGATTATGCTGAGAAGGTTGCGGTGTTTTAGCGAATAAAACCGCATTCCTTCGGTCATAATGAGTGAAATCTGTACTCTCGACGCCTGGTCTGAGACTGTCTTAATCATAATCTTGGACTCAGCGCTCATGTCGTTAAAGTCGGCCACAAGGAGTCCGCTATATATCTGACCAAAGGTTCCCTCATTTAGTTTTTGTTGTATAAGTATTTTTCTTCTCTCGATCGCCAACTCATTGGACCGATCGCTCATCGCATCGCTTGATCTGTTGGCCGCGCTGTGGGAGCCGTGCATTATATGCGCGGGCACTGAGAGAGTACGGTATAGAGAAACCGGCGGTGCGTTCAAAAAGCCTTTGAAACTTGAGTAATGGCTCGCATTCTTATGAATGGTCGGATTGTTTGGTGTCTCAACGCGGAAATAAATTTGTCCGGACTTTGTGGACGACATGTTTGTTAGACTTCCGGTGAAACTGCGAAAAATACAATTATTAATTAAAATTCACATTTAAATGTCACATCACTTACTCTCCATCGGGTGTTTGCCTTCCCTTCTGAGATCTGACGTAAAGAAAATAACATAAAAGTGCGAGAAGTGCGACAACTAGTATGA